CTCCCGGCCAGACATTCGACTGGACATGATTGACACCAAAGCCAGAAAAAACAGTCCTCAACTAGAACCATCAGAGGCTGTGCGACACACGATTGAAGCTTACCCGAACAGCCTGGTCAAAGTCTTCACAGACGGCTCATGTTTCACGAGGGAAAAGAGTAGCGGCTACGGTGTCCTCATCCAGTATCCCGCAGAGATAGCTCCACCCGAGGAGCTATCAGGCCCATGTGGTAGAAACGCAACGAGTCTCGATGCGGAAATAGAGGCAATACTGGTAGCTCTCAAGAGGTTAAACCAAAGGCTAGCGAAACAAAAGTCCTTCCCAGACGTTGTGGTCTTCACCGACTCTCGTTCTGCTCTCGAACTCCTGGGGGACAGATCGGTGAGACCAAAAATGGTTACAGCTGTTCTGGAAACAGTGGGCTCCATCCATGCACATGGCCCTAAGGTGATCTTTCAGTTTATCGCTTCGCACTCAGAGGCGTCGCTTCCTGACCGGGCGGATTTCTTAGCCCAACAAGGCGCGGCCCTACCCCAACCAGACAGACCCATGACTCAGGTGGGAGCCGTTTTACCTGTTGCTAGTTTCAAAATTAGCTCGTTCTGCTGTATGCGTTTCTGGATAATGTCAGCTTGGGTCAGCTTCGACTCGCTTGTGTCCCTCCGTCCCGTGAAGTCACTCGTGCGTATCAAAATATCACTCGGTTGTAGAGAGTTGTACTGAGTTTTGTATTGCGTTAATACTGACCATCAAACTGTGTCCTTGATGCTGGTCGATACACTGTTATGTTTCTACTGGCCACCATTTTATTATGCTTTCATTGTTTTTATTACAAACAAGTAACATCAACATATATATATATGTATATATATATATATATATATATATATATATATATATATATACACACACACACACACACACATAAACAAAGGTTCTCACTCAGGTGTTCACTCTCTGCTTGTGTCCTGTACACGCTATATATACACACACTCTCTCCTCTCTCTCTTTGTTTCTACTTGCCACCATTTTTTTATGCTTTCATTGTTTTTATTACAAACAAGTAACATCAACATATATATATATATATATATATATATATATATATATATATATATATATATATACACACACACACACACACACATAAACAAAGGTTCTCAATCAGGTGTTGACTTTCTGCTTGCGTCCTGAACACGGTTTATAAACACACACTCTCTCCAGTCTCTCTGTTTCCTTGGCTGGCTAACGGCCTAGTCCGCTAGTCAACCATAACAACACATCTACTCTCTTACCATGCCTCCAATGGTGGGAAATCCCTCTAATCTCTTACTATGCCACCATATATGGACCACCTCTCCACTATCTTATTATGCCATCATGGGTCGACTACCTCTCCACTATCTTACTATGACATCATGGGCGAAAACCTCTCCAATATCTTATTATACCATCATGGGTGGACCACCTCTCCACTATCTTATTATGCCATCATGGGCGGACCACCAATTCCACTATCTTATTATACCATCATGGGCGGATCACCTCTCCACTATCTTATTATGCCATCATGGATGGACCACCTCTCCACTATCTTATCATGCCATAATGGGCGGATCACCTCTCCACTATCTTATTATGCCATCATGGGTGGACCACCTCTCCACTATCTTATTATGCCATCATGGGCGGACCACCTATCCACTATCTTATTATGCTATCATGGGCGGACCACCTATCCACTATCTTATTGTACCATCATGGGCGGATCACCTCTCCACTATCTTATTATGCCATCATGGGTGGACCACCTCTCCACTATCTCATTATACCATCATGGGCGGATCACCTCTCCACTATCTTATTATGCCATCATGGGTGCACCACCTCTCCACTATCTTATTATACCATCATGGGTGGACCACCTCTCCACTATCTTATTATGCCAACATGGGCGGACCACCTATCCATTATCTAATTATGCAATCATGGGCGGATCACCTCTCCACTATCTTACTATGCACTCATGGGTGGTTATCTCTCCACTATCTTATCATGCCATCATGGGTGGACCACCTCTCAACTATCTTACTATACTGCCAAGGGTGGACCACCCTCTACATTATCTTACTATACCATTATGTGTGGACCATCTCTCCACTATCTTACTCTGCCATCATGGGTGGACCATCTCTCCACTATCATACTATACCATCATGGGTGGACCATCTCTCCATTATCTTACTTTGCCATCATGGGCGGACCAACTCTCCACTCTCTTACTATACCATCATGGGCGGACCACCTCTCCACTATCTTACTATGCCACCATGGGTGGACCACCTCTCCAATATCTTACTATACCATCATTGGCGGACAATCTCTCCACCATCTTACTATACTGCCAAGGCTGGACAACCTCTCCACTATCTTACCACGCCATCATGGGCAGACCACCTCTACACTATCTTACTATGTAATCATGGGCGGACAACCTCTCCACTATCTTACTAAGTCATCATGGGCGGACCATCTCTCCACTATCTTATTATGCCATCATGTGTTGACCACCTCTCCACTATCTTACTATGTCTTTATGGTTAGACCATCTTTCCACTATCTTAATATGCCATCATGGGCGGACCATCTCTATTCTATCTTACTATACTGCCAAGTGAGGACCACCTATCCATTATTTTACTATTCCATCATGGGTGGACAATCTCTCCACTATCTTACAATGCCATCATGGGTGGACCATCTCACACCTATCTTACTATGCCATCATGGGTAAATCATCTCTCCACTATCTTACTATTCCATCATAAGCGGACCAACTCTCCACTATCTTACTATGCTGCCAAGGGTGGACCACCTCTCCACTATCTTACTAAGCCACCATTGGTGGACTACCTCTCCACTATCTTACTATGCCATCATGGGTTGACCAACTCTCGACAATCATTCTATGCCACCAAGGGCGGACCAACTCTACACTATCTTACTATGCCATCATTGGCGGACCAACTCTCCACTATCTTACTATGCCACCACGGGTGGACCACCTCTCCATTATCTTACTATGCCACCATAGGTGGACCAAGTCTCCACTATCTTACTATGCCACCATGGGTGGACCAACTCTCCACTATCTTACTATGCCACCATGGGTGGACCACCTCTCCACTATCTTTCTATGCCACCATGGGTGGACCAACTCTCCACCAATTTACTATGCCACCATGGGTGGACCAACTCTCCACTATCTTTCTATGCCACCATGGGTGGACCAACTCTCCACTATCTTACTATGCCACCATGGGTGGACCACCTCTCCACTATCTTTCTATGCCACCATGGGTGGACCAACTCTCCACCAATTTACTATGCCACCATGGGTGGACCAACTCTCCACTATCTTACTATGCCACCATGGGTGGACCAACTCTCCACTATCTTTCTATGCCACCAACGGCGGACCAACTCTCCACTATCGTACTATGCCGCCACGGTTGGACCGCCTCTCCACTATCTTTCTATGCCACCATGCGTGGACCAACTCTCCTACCCTTTGCTACGCCACCGGCTCAACCTCTTCTAAATAAAATATAATTTTAAAATAGCGCCATGCTGACAGGATGGTACTTGAACATACTTCCTAACATTGCGTCAACCAGTCGGCAACGACTTTTTTGTTTGCTGTTTAAAACATGATTCGTCGCGCCCTCTGCACATGTGTTTAGTAGTAATACAGTTGACGTGAAATGGTATAGTGTCTACTGGACGGGATCCAGTAGGATTGAAAGATCGTTCAATGGAAATGTATTGTGAATTGAATGTTCTAAACAAATTAAAAGTTTCAAGTGAATTCAATGTTCTAATCCAATTAAACGACCTAAGTTAGTTGAATGTTCTAAGTGAATTAAAATATTATGATGTACATTCAATATTGTGATGTGACTGACTGTGATAATTTGTAGAACGCTCAATTAAATTAAACGACTTAAACAAGAATTGGACTTGTCAAACGTCTCGCATCTTTTGTTTTTTCATTGGTTGTTGGTTTAATTAGTAAATAGGAAAAGGGAGAGGGGATGTGGTCGTTAAGCTTATCCTGGTCGGCGTAAGGTCTGGCTACGGCACTGTGTTGAAACATTTTCAAGGGAATTTGGGGGTGGGGGAATGTGGTTTGGGCAAGTCTAACCTGGTTGGTTTAATGTCTGTCTACGACACTGTGTAGAAATGAATGACGGAAAAAATCAATCTTTTTAAAAACCATGCAGGTTGAGTTGACTGAAAATACGTCCTGATCCCTTATTCTACTGTTATGCTTTCTTTTTAGATTGTTTCATTTCTTTTCGCAATCACTTAAGACTCCAGTGTTACAGTCAGGTGATATAGTTCTTTGTCTTGGTTTGAGCCATCTAATATTTGTTTTATGTAACATTCTAGAGATTTATTTACGGCACTGACGACGGATGTCTAGTAACAATTCACTGTATATCTTCTTGTTGGTATATCAAACACATTAGAACAGGATCTCTCAACATCTTTGTCAAAAGCATCTATCCACTGATACGTTATGACACATAATGTATTCATGTAACATCAGCTATTAAAGTAGACCTATACAAGACACACAATGACTGCCAATTCTACTAGAGACCATCTCGTAATGGCTGCATTGACTAAAGGACATTTTGCTGGACCCATCATGGGGTCAAATCGCCTAGGATTACAAAATCAAACAGCAAAGATACAACAGGCTGTCCAATCAAACTACCAACTCGACCAAAAAGATTCGACCAAATCAGGCAACGTCCAGCCGTTATTAGGAATCAGTGAGACAGCAATGTTCTATCGCACATTGGATCACCTTTCCACCATTAGTGAGATCAGTGAAACAGACAACGATATTCAAGTGAGACTTCCTTCACTATCTCGTTTGTGCATCGATACCAAATTTCGACGTAACCCACCGAACATTAGACTCACATAGAGAAATGAAATCACACGGATGATTTATCCTGGATCGATACTTCAAGTCTGCGGACCTCCCATGACAGGAAAATCCACGATAGTGGAACAGGTCAGTGGTGTTTTGTCATTTTTAGCGGAATGTTATCTGGTGTTATCAAAAGGCAACACTGTACATACAAAGATTTTATCCAAAATTTAACGCATGCAATAGAATCACTAAATATCTTTAGCCTGTAATCTGTTATAATCATAACTATTTCATTGAAAATTACCAGCATATTTATTTTTTTCCAATGATAGTGTTGATTGTTTACCAATGATGGTATTGATTGTTTACCAATGATGGTATTGACTGTTTACAAATGATGGTATTGATTGTTTAAAAATGATAATATGGATTGTAGCTTTTTATTGATGGAGATCAATTGGTAACTGCTGTTAATAAGACATTTGTCTCCACATAAATTGGTAACTGCTGTTAATAAGACATTTTTTTCAACCAATTGAAAACTGCTGTCAATAAAGCATTTGTCTGCACAACCACTTGGAAACTGCTGTAAGTAAACCATTTGTCTTTCATCAAACACTGGCTTTATGAGTCTGTTTTTAAAGGCTTTCAAGATTCACGACCGTCTCCTCTTTGAATTAGGGCATTAAAAACAAGGGAATCTATTTAGGAAAGAGCAATATTTTGAACAGAGTGGCATTTAATAATTAGACCATTCCATGGTTAGTAGACATTGTTTCATTTAAAAAGAATCTCCAGACTACATTCGATAATCCTTAGTTTCATTCAGTGACCTGACATCCTACAAAAGTTGTGCTTTTCTTACAGGCTATAGACGACATGAGAGAGATAGAGGGACATAGGTCAGCATCCAATCGGGGAGCAATCATCTATCATCCCATTTTGTGTCGTGGACTCATCTCTCTGCAGGATATTTTATCAGCTGTCATGAGAAAATTAAAACCTGGAACTTTTAACGGAAACATCGAATGGGACGTAGGATATGTGCTCCAGGAAATACTATCTTTATTAGAACTTTGTAGCAGTCACCACAACGTTTTTGTGTTTCATAAATGTGAACATTTGAGAACCTCTGGAAGGGACCACGAGTTTCTGATCTTCCTGTCTCACTTGGCGAACACGTTTATGAGCTTAAATTTTAAAGTAAGCGTTGTGTTTACAACATACAAGAAGTTTCCAATCTCAGGACGTAGTACTGAATATGTTCATGTGGGAATGTTGACTGACCAATGGGACATTCTCAACCTCCTAAAATATTACGCGCCTGGCGTACACGTAAGTGACTGTGTTTACATCTGCCACAAGTTTCTTTGTCTTCCGGAATGTGTTATTCGACTGGCGGAAGAATATCTGGTCAAAGACACATACATCCCGACGCCTGAGCAATTGGAAAAAATTGTGTGTTGTGATGTAGACTTCCATGCTCTGACCTTTGAAAAGAGAGTCGCAGAGGTTGTACAATGGCTGTCCAAGAGTGACGTAGAATTGTTGTGGCAATTCTGTTCTTCTCTTGATGTTACATTTACAGAGGGTAAATATATTTGTATATTTTAAATCTCTGCCTTTTATAGATTTGTGCTAGCTAACTTTAAAAAAAATATGTTTAGAAAGTTAAATAAAAACTTATTCTCAATGAGTTGTTATTTACACACAAAAACAGACGAACATTTGTTAGTATTTCTTTTCTTTAGTTGAAGAGCTGGTGTAAAGTATGATTTGTAATAAATTCTCATACACTGAATCATTGTCACACTTTTTACAATTAGATTTGGATGCTCCCTTTATCGCCACTCCCGGCCACATGGCATACAAAACTTTCAACGTCTCCACAACGAAATCCCAAGTACTTTTTTAAACACTTCACTTTTCCTGAAGGACTCCAGAATTTAATAGAACATAAAATAGTTACTTCTTCAATACAATGGAATAATCATCACACTTAATGGGTTAGTTCGAATAACAACCATAACTATGTACAATCATAATAGCGGATTGTGTAAATATCTCTGAAAATCATGAATGGATTGCGCTATCGTCATACTCGCTTGTTCCCTTGTCTAAAAACTCGCCTTCCCTGAGATTCTTAAAAATATTGTCTAATTACCGAGACTCTACATGATTTAAACTTATTGTTACAACAAGTGAATGTTTGAATGTAAAAAAATAATAGCAACATTGGTTTTTGTTATTATTTCATTTTTAAGAACTAAAAATTTGTTTTCCTTTTTCTAAACAATTATTTTTCCTCAGTTTTTGCAGTATCTGATATCATTAACTAAGTTAATTGAATTACTCTTATAATTAACCATGTGAATTAAAGCCCTGATATAATTAACAATTCGAATTCGAAACTTAATAGAATTTACTAAATAAAGTCAATGTTGCACATACATATTTTACTAAATCAAATGCATGACGTAATGAATATGTAAATTCTATTTATAATATAATTAACTTGAGAAATTCAATAGCTTATAAATTTATCTCAGTGAATTCAATTCCTTACATAATAATCTAATTGAATTCTTAGTATGATATTATTACCGGTATAAAAGTGAATTCAAAGATTGATATGAATAATTATATAAGTAAATTCAATGAATGATATAATAATTAAAGTAAATTCAATGAATGGTATATTTATTTAATTTTATCCTCTAAGAACATTTACGAGAAGTTTTCTTAGCTATCAATGGTTCGCAGAAGATGTTCACCTGGCAACTTCTATTGGGCCGACTGAAAGATAATCACATCATTCGTGAGATCGAAGGATGCGCTCGCCTTGCCGTCCATCCTCTGGTCATCTACTTTTGTCAGACGTCCTGCCTAAAAGTCACGATGACCATTGCTGACCAGTCTTGTAGTGCGTAAGTATCAATCATGGACCTATTCAGTATTATGTCATCGACTCATTTTTCATATAGTTAAAATACTTTTAACGCTAGCTAAGCGAATCAACCCTTGACTTTTTCATGACAAATTTGTTTTCAATAATAAGGTTGTCATAAAGTAGTGTTCCATATTTTTCTTTATTATTCAAAATATGTCAACCTAATATTTAAATGAAATTTATTTCTTGAAACGTTAATGAAATTGATGAGGTTCTTTGTAAATATTTTTGTTAGAACCATTTCTATATAGACCTGGATGTTACAAACTGCTATTTGCTCAAGTAGTTCAATAGTTTCTTTTAGCAGAGTAGTATTAGTAACAACACAAAGGTCAATATTTGTTATGATTGTTTATTCCAAAATAAACTGCACAGCGTGCCTTCTTCCGTCCACTATCTTTCTGCAACTGACTAGTTACCTAAACCTGAGCAACGAACAACTTCATTGTTCATAACCTAAAAATAGGTCACCAATAAAATGACACTGAAATAACTGCACGAATAATCTCCACACTAAAGACGCTCATTCACAAATCAAGTTTATAAAACACAAACTAAAACACGCCCCCAACAAATCATTAACAATGGACATCAATATCTAAAGGACCTCTAGGATGTCCAATCATCTGCATACAATAAGTATGTAGAAATTATTTTTTAAATTTCTATAATGTGTAACATTATTTTGAAATCGAAATATTTATTTAAAATTTCTTAAATAATCCCAAATAGTCTTGCACCAATCTCAGTGAATCTACCAGAGTCCTCACAGTAGGGTGCTTCTTAGGCATTGGCAGACTAGTCGAACGGCTAGTGCCCCACTGCCAAGGGGCCCCACCGAGCGCTTTTCGCCTACCACTTGCAAGTTATTATATTTCAGAACTACACTTTTTCTCTAGTGGCTCAATTATCATTATTGTTAGTAGATATAATAATGTAGCCGAGTGGTGACGTAGCTTACAGTTTAAATGAAATCACAATAAAACAATCAGGTCTGAGAACTATAGTTTTTTTAATGGAAAAGGTACAATCCGTGGACAGAGCCGACAGGAAAATCTCTCACACCTGCCATCGACCCGACGCATCCGTTCCACACCACAATCTCAAAGATGTACATACCTCAAGTCCCAGTTCGCCCCCCCCCTCACACACACACAGTCACAGGAAACCCGCGTCCGAGCTGACCATTGGTCAACCCCGGAGCAGGGATGGTTATTCCCGCGTGTAAATAACCTACATAAAATTTAAGGCCAGTACACGGCTGAGTGTTACGTTGAATGACCATGGATAATGGATGTGTACGTGCTTGGGGTTACCCATAGCAGTCACACTATGACTATGCGAGTGGATTCTCTTATATAGTGGCACATTGCCACAATAAGATTAGTGGTTCTCCATATGGTTATTGGTAACACGCGTGTGAGATGGATGATCAGTGCCAGCCCGCTTCGGCCCCACCCATCACTGCGGCACTTCTATTCTGCCTTCGTCAATTTTTCCACTTTGCATTCCAGCTTCGGGGGAGCTCGGCCCGAGGGGCACCCTACCTACGTTACATGCCTAGGGCCCCTAATATCCAAAGAACTGCCTCTGCTAATAGTTTTTGTTGCAAGTAGACGAAATGAATTTTTTAATTTTATATTTTAAAAATTAACAACACAATTTTTAGATAAGAAGTAGATGTTGTTTTTTTTAAAGCTACACCAACTTCATCTGTCGGGTCCTGAAAGCTGCGGAAGCCAGTATGATACTTCACGGAAAGAAAGGTCAGGTGTATGGATGTTTGGCAGAAGAGTGGCCGCACATTCGAGGCGTCATGCAGCGGGCCATTCAGTGTACCACGGGGACATTTGAAGCCTTCCTACGAGTAAGTGCTAACTAGATACATATATAAAAGAATAAGATATGCTGACGAAACGCCAAAGAACCGAAAATGTTTAGATACGATCAGATTATTAAAGAAACAATCTTAGTTATCTTCTATTATTTTACGGAAATCGAATAAATTTAAATTCACTAAAAAAATTATATTTCCACTTTTATATTAGCAAAATTTTAAGTAGTATTATTATAAATTACAAATATATTTAAATTAACAACTAAGGAACTATTTTCAGCATTTTGAAAGAATGTAAATGTTATAAAAAAAATATTAATCAAAATATTATAATCTAAGAATTGCATCTAAATGCCATTTAGCAGGAAAACCCAAAAATCGATTATTCTTAGTGCGTTTTTAGAGCGTTGTCTAAATAGCGAAATAAAAATAAAATTTATTAAATCTAAATAATTACGCAAATGAAGTCATAACGGAATTGTCTATTTTAGCCACAGCTCTAAGTTTCTTCGATTTCATAACCGCGCGTGAAAAAACTAGTAATGTATTTTCCCCTTCTTAAAAGTAAATTTAATAAATACAATTGAAGGCTATTTAAATTGCAAAAATTTTCTAAAATTAAATAGAACTTTAGATTTAAATTGTTAACATTTAATACGTTCTTACCTTTGATTCGTTCCACAAAGATACGTTTATGAAATTTATAAAGTAGTAAGAAATGTAACCTTTAAATATACTTTTAACATGAACATGTTGTTTAATTCAATCAGTGCATCGAAACTACATATCAAAGTAGCATTCACTAATGCTCTTACCACTCATCCAAATAAGAACAAAGATAGTAAAATGCAAAACAAAAAAATGTTTCGTAAGTAAGGGGGTTACAATTCCATGGATGATTTTATTATAATTTTTTTTTTTTAAACTCTGTTGCGGAGGGGATCAGTAATAGGATATTTTCATTTGCTTTAGACAGCACAAGATACGCCTCAGAATGATTTTGACAAATAATTTACCCTCTTATGTACATATTACCGGGGTTAGAAAGTATAGTGTGTAAAATGTTACGTTTATGACAATAATTTTAAATACAATGATATTACATTTGTGAAAAATAGATCCTATACTCTCATTTTACCAATTAAGAAAATCAATTAAGTTAACACAACGTAAATACATTTACATAATTATACTTGTAAATATTAAAACCCATTCATTTAAGCGAAATTTAATTTTCAACATAGAGATTGGTTAAGCTTTTCTTAGATATATAGATAGATACATAGATAGAAAGATAGGTAGGTATGTAGATAGATAGATAGATAGATAGATAGATAGATAGATAGATAGATAGATAGATAGATAGATAGATAGATAGATAGATAGATAGATAGATAGATAGATAGATAGATAGATAGATAGATAGATAGATAG